CCGTCACTCCACCCCCCCCCCCCCCCCCGGCCCCTGGAGCACTGGGGAGGGTGGGCACTGGGGGGGCAGCAACACTCCGCCCCCAGTACGCCTACAGCAGGTGTTCTGGGGGCAGGGCCATGCCTGGCAGTTTAGGAAGGCAAAGCCCCCCCCACCTAAGCTACTGGGCACCCCTGCAGCTGGTTGCCGGCCCGGTCTCTAGGGAGGGGGGAAGGTGGGGTGCAGCTCAGCACCCCCACTCAACCCCTGCCCCCCCATTTCCCTTCTAGCCACTGGTTAGCCCCCCTATGCTCCTCAGACAGCCCCAGAGGCACAGGAACATTTTTAAAAGTGGGGGAGCTGAGCCCCAGAGCAAAGCCCCAGCACATGGGGCCAGCTGCAGGAGACCCCAGTATATGGGGCTCAGACGGGGACCCCAGTAGGTGGAGCTCGCAGCAGAGCCTCTGGCACTGGGACCTAGGGTGCTAATGCAAAAGCCCCCGCGCCTATGGACGATGAGCAGCAAGAAGCCTTTGGAAATACGTTTGCCACCTGGCCGCCTGCATTCTTCTGTGGGTTACAGGAAAAGCAGGGACGCTTTCCTGCCCTCCCAGGAGATGAAACCGACAGCTGCACTTTCCAAGAGTCCCTGTCCCCGCACAGCCGTCAGACCCCACCCCGGGCGGGTTTCCCTAACGCGAGACCACAAAAACCCGGCTTGGAGCCTTCAACTTTAACGAACTGGAAGCTTGTGATGCCATTCGCCGGGCAGAGCCGACCAACGCGCCACGCAGGGAGACGACCCCCGCATCTCGCACGCAGACGGGAGGTGCATTTATTCCGCCATCGCAACCAGACAACCTAGAAGGCCCTCCCACGGCAGCTGTGCCTGGCCACGTGCGAGAGGACCACTCTGAAGAGACCCAACACAAGCCAGTCAATGGAGAAGTTTCTTTTCCCGTATGGAAGGGCACTAACTTGTGTTTCCCAGGGAGGAGCACGCCAACCGAGCTCAGGTTGGCTGAATTCCTCTTTGGTACGGCAACGCCAGCCGAGGACACCCAAAATAACTCTGAATCACTGAAGCTGGAGCCAACAAAAAGGCTGGCTCTTCAAGTGCAGAGGGACATCCTTATCAGAAGCAAACAGGAGGAGCCACATCTGATCGCATACCTGTCCAGCAGTAATCTGGTTTCACTCCTGTTAAACACTTTACTCTATTTATAAGTAAGCTGCCTGACTTACCCAGTTCTTTAGATCCTTGGCTTTCACAGGCCAACTCCCCCATTTTAACCAGCGCATCGAAATAGCCTTTCGCAGCGTATGTCACACCTGAAAAAAGAATCAAGAAATACAAATGAGTCATTTGCTCCAATGCGTCTAATAATTTCTACCATGCCCAGAGTGCTAAAGACTGTACAGAACAGCCAGCCAAAGTCCCTGGTCCACAGAGTTTGCAATTTAATTTAAGATACAAGACAATAAATTAGTAACAAATTAGCAAGGGGAGGGGGCAGGATGAGGCAGAGGAAAAGGTTACAACATTAAAATGATGGGGTTATTCAGACAAAAAAAAATAAAATAAAATAAAGACCGCGCATAAGAACGGGATACTTTTCCATAAAACTCCGGCATAAATTAGTATCACCTGTAAGAATCATTTGATTGTTCAGAAAACAACCCCATTGCTAAACAACTACATATCACGGACTTTTGCAACAATTCATTCCTGTAGCTAGTTTGCTGGCATTCCGACGCCATGCATCACTTTTAATCAGATAAGCAGGGGGACTCCTGTAATCACAAGAGCATGTTGCACAGCTTTGGGTCAACACCATTAAATGGTGTGCCTTTCTTCCAACATGTGTTACTGATTAAGAGGATTTCCTTTAGTGCCCATCAGAAAGGCTAAGATCAGAGCTGTAAAACAACACAAAAGGCAATTTTTAAAAGTTACCAGCAGCCTTGTGCCGAAACATTGATTCTGGATAGAGAGAGGAGTCTAGACTCAAAGTCCCTCATGCAGGTTTCCCCCAGAGAGCTTTCAGATACAACAGCTAATCGGTTGGTTCTAGTATAGGCATGTGCTTTAAAAAAAAAAAAAAAAAAA